CAAAGGATCGGAATAAAAGCATGGGAATGTAGGCTTTCCGGAAACCGCTTTTAATGATAGCAATAGAAAAAGGACCTGTGGGAAAAATTCTGTACTGTTTTGGTAAAAGGATAGCTTGATGCAGTGGTAGAAGGGGTTACTAGAATCAAAGTACCAATTCTGCCAAAGAGACAACTAATCCCTCTACGACTGGTTCATTCGCTTCACTGGTAAATTGGTACTTGCGTATGCCAGGGAGTCAAATCCGTCTTTAATTTGTTCCAATGCAACCTCCAGAAAAAGGAATCGTGGATGGCTTTATTAGTGGTTGGTTGCAACTTCTTGGGTCGCTTCTAAGCGCCTCCGCACTGCTTAAAGAGTGCCATACCGAAGAGTGAGGGTTTGGCTTATGTCTGGAATTGCAGGTGAGGTTCATAATAGAGGATTTACCATGAACAGTTAAGGTTGCTTTCGATTCTGCTTTGCCTTCAGCATTCTCAGCCACACACTTGTACTGTCCCTGGTCATCGATATCAGCTGAGATGATTACTAATCTCTGGATGGTACCTTCCGACTCGATGATCGTTTTCTTTGCTTCTTCGACAACCGGTGTCTAAATTTAAAGTTTTTTCAGATCTACAAGTTTCAAAAATGGCGACCGATGTGGACCATTCTGGGTACCGTTTCGAATAAAATTATGCGAAATTAAACTGAAATCGATATGTGAGGAACAAGATCCCAAACCAAGTTGATTTACCACAAAGGTGGGAAAAAGGAAGGACATGTTGCTCAAGATGGAATCAAATATGAATATTTCTCATTCATCCCGGAGTTACACCTGATCAGAACCGCACCCTCATTGTTTACTTCTACAACGAATTTAGTAAATAAGAGACCGAATTTATACTAATTTAGCAAATATGCGGGTTGTAAGTGAAAATACAATGAGTCCGATTCCTGGTTTGCCACAGTGGAGAGGTACCAAAACAAAAAAAATCGCACATGATATCTGGTGCTGCCAGGATTCGTACTTGGCTATGTTTTGACACTGTCTTGTCCGTTGTCACTTATGAACCACGAAGAAGCGCCTAGACTGACAAGTATAGGGGAATCAAGGAATGTTTCCACAAGCTTGCGCAATTCCAAAGCTCTATTGTCTAAAAATTCAAAAGTGAGTAAAACTTGCCTTTTCATGGTACCAAGTAACCGTTGGTTGTGGCTCACCGATAACCTTGCATTCAAAAACAACTCTTTCCGTTTCTTTTGTTTCTTTATCCTGTAGAGCGACGAGGAATTCCGGAGCACGCGATTCTGGCTTGGTTAATGCTTCTGTAAAATACTAATTTGGACAAATTATTGGATTTGAAATTAAAAATAGTAGCATGTACCAATAAGAGCACCCACTAGTAAGGCTGTTAGAGGCACTTTCTTTCGAGATTTGTTTAAAGCCATCACCCTCGAGATCCACATCTTCGTCCCGTCATCGGTTTTCACTTCAACCATATCTCGCTAACACCTCACATATGCACCCTCAATCTACTTTATTCGCCAATTTACTCTCACCGCATTATCACCTCCTATACTCACCCCCACTTCGCCACAACCTTCCTCATCAACTCTAATCTCATCTAGTCCCATATTCACCCTCACGGCGCCATCACCTTCCGCACCGTAAAATGAAGATGCAGATGATCACATGCCAGCGAATTTGATATAGTTTCTGGCTAAGAGAGCTGATATGCTGTTGAAAGAAATATGGAAAAAAGACTAATGAAGAGGAATATCTAAGGTGGACCGTCAGGAATCTCTCATCAGAGCTGATTTATACTAAGGAATTTCTGAATTTTTCAAGAATTATTTCTAAAAACTTCTAACATATTCACCAAATCCTCTGCACTCCATTATTAATATTCGCGTCACCAAGTACACGCCTACAAGAGATCTCAGCAAACGGATTAAGCCGTTTTGCCTTATGACTATAAGGGACATTTTCCGGGAAACCTCAAAGCTGTGCCGTAAGTTTGAAATTTCATACCAGGTCCTTCGGTCCTCAGACACTTTTTCGATAGCTCCGGTTAATATCCAGAATTACAAAAAAAAATAAATTATAGCAGACCTGAACTTTTCAACTTTCACATATTCAAACATGAGGCGTACGCATACGATAGAAGTTGAGTTACGATAAATGCACACGGACATTGTTGTAAAAATTTCAGTTCCCTAGTTTCTTTGGTATTAAGTAGGGAAACCAGGACAGATATCCAAACACACACCCAGCAACTCCCAATATTTACGTTTCGCTGTTTCAATGCAAATCATGGGAAAATGAGAATAATTTAATAAACTCGAAATGTTCCCGTGCACTAACCTATAACAGTGAGTGTTGCTTCGCATGAATCTTTGCCAGCAACATTCTCCACCACCACTGTGTATTTACCGGCATCTTCCGGAATCACGTCATCAATGATTAGCTCACTGGTCACGAAACCTTCAATTGTCCGTGTCTGCACACGAATCCTTGCAATTAGCTCTATCTCACGTCCATCTTTCAACCTGAAATATGCTCCAAAGTCACCTCAATAATAAAAGAAACAAAAGTTTTTCGCAACTTTTTTTAAGTGAAATTTCCATAAAAAGAAAAATAACAAATCGAATTTTTCGCCATTTCTCGCGGAATTTTTTTCCTGCACAGAAGAAAGCGGTAAAGCATAATACAATTAAGGAAAACTTTGCTTCTGACAAAACCAGGACTTCGCCAGATGCGAGTTAAAACTGATAGCTAAAACGAGGTGAAAAATGAATTAAACCCATGCTGTTTGACTTACATACCACTTGCAGCAAACGCCTTTCGTGTCTGGAACAACGCATTCGAAGATAGCCTGGTGTCCACGAGCTGCTCGTGTATCCTTGATTTTGGTGATGAATTTCGGTGCCATGATCGGGGTTGGTGTACGCTGTAGCTCTTCTTCTTCCGCAGCTAAAGACTTACAGTTTAAGAAAGTTTTCAGGACCTGAATGTCTAGCAAACTACTATCTTGCTCGACGTCAGAATAAGTCAGGCTAACTGATCCTTCAACTAAGAATCGATATGCATCGTTAATCACTGGACAAAGAAACAGTCCTCATTATGTATATCCAAACAGTACTTGCCAAATTAAATCTGTCGATAATATTCATTTTGGCAGATTAAAGATGCCATTTCTGAGGCAAAGGAGCGATGCTTATACAAATTTTGACTTCTTGGACAGCTAACATTTTCCAAAGCCCTTCCTTTAGGAGAAACACTGGGCTAGAAAACTCTTCAGAAGAGGTGGCAAGCATCAGGATTGCCAAAAGAATGACCAACAGGCAATGCAGCATCGGTCAAAACAGTAGGCAAACCTATTTATGTGGAAGACCTAGCTATGGATTCGAATTGAACAGTCAAATTAAAAATTATGATTACATTTTCAAACTAGATTCTAAAAAACAAATCTGTTGTAATTCTATTGAAAATAAACAGAACTTTAGGCACAAATTGCCGAAGCTAAGGATTTTGTAAATTTTTTCCCTCAAAACACGAGTAAACTGCGCATTTTCCATACTTTTTACCACCCTTCCATTGCTGTTTGGAACTGCAGAATTTTTAGAAAAGCAACTAAACAGGTATCCCCTAATTAATTCTAGGTATAGATGAGTCAGCGAACTGTATAAAGTTTTTACCAAGTTCAGGCCCCTCTTCAAAGGTCAGCACTTCTTCAGCCATTGCTTCGGATTCCGTCTGCGATTCGGAAAACATGTCGGATGTGTAGGGCTAAAAATATTCGCAATCAATAAAATCCATTTTTTTTTAAATTTCTAGGCTATCCGAAATTTTGTGAAAAACCGAAATCGAAACTCCGCACTTTCTGAATACATATTACAATAAAAAGTAAAGATCCATCTAAATACCCATATCAATTATGTGAATGCGAAACCCAGGCTGGAACGCACCGGGCGGGCCCGTGCGATCATGCGTTTTTGCACAGGACTTGAAG